CTATTTTCCTTGATTTTTCCCGGGGAACTGAAACACACTAACAGTACCTGCACGTGTTCCAAAAAAAAACTCAAATTAGGCCCAGGGCCTCTTTCGGCCCAAATCGCAACTCCGGCACGGCGGCTCCGCCGTGCTCCGGCGACGGCGGCGGCGAGTCGCCTCGGGTTGGCTGTTTTCGGCCGAATTCGGCCACACTCGCATCGGTCCTTGTGAGAAAACAACCCTAGGGCCCTCGGGGGGCCAAAAAATCACGGAAAAACGGAGCTTATCGGCGGCGGCGCTCTCGGGTGCGGCGGCTCTCCGGCGAGGTTCGTGTTTTGGTGATTCGGCTCCGGTCAACCTGTATAGAAAAGAATGGTGATCACGGTGATATAAAAATTGCATCGAACGGAGGCCGGGAAGGGCCTCGTCGGAGGCAAAAACCGAGATGGGGCGCGGCGGCGCTGCTGGTCTTCGGCAGCGTATTCCGGCCGTTTGGCCGGGATTTCGGTTTCGATTTGGCCATAGGAGGAATCAGCGTGGAAAAACGAGTCGGGGGTATGAAATTTACCTCGATCGGCGGTCGGAAATTTTCCCGGTGCGGCAGCGGTCGGCCTCTAGTTCGTCTTCTCCGGCGAGCGGTAGGCGCCTAGGGTTTGTGGTCTGGTGTGGGGGTTCTATTTATAACCCATTGCCTTTTGATCTCAGCCGTCCATTTTGTTTTAATCTGGGCCGTTCGTTTTTGATTGAATCTGGGCCGTCCGTGCGATTGTATCTGGGCCGTCCGATCGCGCGATTGATCTGGGCCGTCGGATTTCACCCACGCGGATCGCCAACGTGGCTACCCTTCGGAGTGACGTGGTCTTGCCACGTGGCAGGCCCCGGTTGGCCGGGACTGCTGACCGGGCCTGCTGGCGTGGCTCTTTTTTTTTTTTTTTTTTTTCCTCCTCCTTTCCGGGTGCTACAACAAAGCCACTAATAACAAGGTAATTGACATAACTATTTTAGCAAAATCGTAAGACAGAAAGAAAAGAGACTAGGAGGGGAAGAGAGAACTTAGCAAATATGAGAAAGGAGAGGGAAAAGAAGGGTGAAATGAAGAAGAAAGGGTATTGGCCACTTATGATCCTTGTGGGAAAGCAAGAGGTTGATCAAAATTGTAGGTTTTATGAGTATGAAATCAAGTGGGTATATGAGTTGAGCCAATGGATAAATTTGCTCACATTTTTTATCAGTATATTCAATTGTAATGGAAGGATCTCAAATATCTTCTTTCTCACAAGTTTGATCAAGATTGTTGAAAACAGCCGGACTAAGCTTCAATTTCAACTTGTTCTTCATGTTGTTATTGACTAAGAGAAACATCAAATCCTGGCCGCCGGCAGAAGTGGAGCCTTTATAGATAAAGGCTTATCTTGAAATTTGTGCAATTTGTCCATAGCAACTGCAAATGCTGAGCATAAATATGAAGAATACTCAATTTCTTGTTGACAGCAAGAATCATAAATTTGACCCAGATTGCTGCTTGACGATATCAGTACCACTTGATGATGTTGGATTATCTCAATCCTCTGTTGCATATCCACAAACACCCTAAACTTGGCACAGTATATCCTTTTTTATTGGATAGATTACACAATGTGTTTTTATCTTTTTATGATTCCTTTGGCCTTTTTCCCGTCTGCCTATTGCTTGGCTATGAAACTTCCAAAAGCCAGTGGTAACTCTTGCATCTTATACTTCCTAGTTATTACAACTGTTGTGTGATATAAACAGATGCCTAACGTCCACAATAGATTTTGTCCTTGACATTTATTCAGCATATGCTTAAGTTACAAGAAAGCTAAAGAAGTTGCAAATAACACCATTTTATTAATTTGCAAATCTTCTGTTAGTTGTATTTTTCCTGACTATCTTTTGCATTGAATGTAGTGTAGACAGTCACTTTTTGCTGGTTGTTGTACCTTATGGCTGGAATCGTAATGCTAGAATTTTTAAACATGCTCATCTTATTTGGGTAGATGCTTTGCATGGTCCTTTTAGGGTGAAGGTTCATTCTGCTTTCTGGATCCCCCTTATTTATTTTACAAAAGAATTGTGGGGCTGTCTTATATTAAGATCAGCAATTTTTTCTCTTTATCTTTTGCCATTTTGGAGAGGATACTCCATCCTCCTTTACAATCTCCCTTCTTAATAATATTTTCTTTTCCTTAATTATGTAAGTATGTGTACATAAGAATACTGAACTCGTGAAGATTGCGTGGACGAAAGTATCACTTTGTGAAAATATTACTGTTTCTCCGGTTTCCTTATTAGACTTGGACCAGATAAAAAGCTGTTCGTTAGGTAAATGAGAAAAGAATCCAAATTGCATGATAATGAAAATTGCTGAAGATCTTCGTTGTTGAAAGTAATTACAAATAATAATCGTAAGTATCCTTGCAGATTTCTGCAATCGGGTAATTCACACTGGAGGGGTACTGTGTAACTGTACAAAGTGATAAACTGTTGTATTTCTTTTGTCTATACATCCGTCAAATGTGCAACGGTAAGTCTCCCGCATCTGCTATTATCTAACAAATCAAATTGATTAGAAATCTGTAGGATATCTTTTTCTTCTATCTTTCCCATCTCCTTAAGCTTGTATATTACAAATTCGGGTTTACTGCAACCATAGAAGGAAATATATAAGTATAAATATCTGGTAGGAAATACAGAAAGTTGAGAAACTCAGTTATCAGAAAAACCACAGGTCATTCATACCAAGTTCTGATGTAGGAACCAAGGGGGGGAACTATTGAATTACCTGATAGATCCATCATGATCAAGGTCTGCAGCTACAAAATCCCTAATGGTCATTTTCTTGGATAGAACCCATTTGGCGATTCTACGATTCCTCTTGTGAATCCGAAGTTCGGCCAAGTACAAAAAGGCTCTCGCAACTGCCAGTGTGCTTACTAGTAACCAAACAACTGCAAAACACCTTCCTGTTAGTGTGGTGAATGTGTAATCCCCATAACCTACGGTTGTCACAGAAGTAACGGAGAGATAAAAGCTATCAACCCAGTTCAGATTCTCGAACAAATGCACTGCGATTGTCCCGGTGACTATACAACAAACCACAACACCCAGAGCCAACCCCACTTTAATTCTTATTCTCATTCTTCCTTTCCTTTTGTCTATCACGTAAGTTTGAACCATTGTGTTCAACTCATTCTCATCAGCTAAGCTCAACACAATTGCCTCCTGTTTATCACAAATGTATGTCACCAATCCATTCAGCAGAATATCAACAAACCCAAAACCCACCAGTATAAAAATGCAAGTGAATATCTTGGTAAATGATGTGTCTGGAACAATATCTCCATATCCAATTGTGCAGAGAGTGACTACAGTGAAGTACAGGGCATCTACCGGTTTCAACGTTGTACGTCCCTTGAAGCTCCCACTGCTCAGGTACACCAAAACACCGGCTATCGCATACACAATTACACCGATGATGGCTTGCCGAACAACCGATGGTGTTGACTTGATGGGATATCTGGCTTCTAAGGAATCGGAAAAAGCTTCCTTAAGGTCTGTGAATATTGGCGGAGCAGAGTACGATCGAATGAGACTTCTCTTGCGATCCTTCAAGTTGTCAGTTAGGTTGATATAGGAGGCTTTGGAGATGTTGTTAGCCTCAGTAGCGAGAAGATTTCCCGTTGATTGCGGACGAGAGGGGCCAGCCGGGTCAAAAGGAGATTCTCTCTTTATGGAATTTTTGGTGAAATCATTTTCTTCTTGTGTGATTTTCTCGTGGAGAAGAGGATCATCCATGTTCAATCTGCCTGCCATGAAGTGCTGTTGAAGCTCCTCCTGTGCGTGCGGTAGACATTTTTGTTTTAATAAAGACAGGGAAGTTTTATGAATCCACCTGTAAGTCAATCCTTTAATGAAGAGAGAGCTTGTGTTGATGGTTTGATCGTCTAACAGTCAGCAGTTGATAACACTCCCTGTTTATTACCCGTAAAATTCAATGGCCTGACTCTGCTCATTCCCCACTTGATTAATTAATTAACACGAGACTTCAATTTCTGGCTTATATATAAAACAGAGCTATTAATTCTCTACAGTTGTCAACCTGAAACTAGTCATTTGCTTTTCGAGGAGTTGAAGTTTCTACTAATGAGGCAAATGTTCATTTATTTTCTTAAGAACTAAATTCCAAAACCAATTGTGTTCCTGTCAATGCAGAAATTAACCCGATTTACAATTATGAAATGGAGAACTAAGAGCTTCAACCAACGAAAGAAAAAAAGAAGAAGGTAAAGATATGGCTCGTCTTACATTAACGTCTAATTGTTGTCGATGTCACTGGGGAAATGTGGCATCATCGACGCCGCTTCAAATCTGTTGTGTGCAAAAAGTATTCGCAGCAGGAACGCATCTTAGGTCAATTGCAAGTGGTCAATTTCAAGAGACGAGAATATAACCTTCTTCATCTGGGAGCATACCGGAAACAATTGAATGGTTGATGGTCTGAGGA